ACCTATGGCTGCCTCATGCTACGAAGGGAAATTAAGTAGTTGTGATAGACTGGATTGTATTGCCTGCAAAGTTAAAATAGTTGCTGTCTGGCTGGCCTCTTAGCATATTTACGTACTGAGGTCCTAAGTAGGCCACAAATTGTGCCAGACCTGATAGCACCACTAGAGGGAGCACCTGGGCCTCACAAGTGGTGCAGAAGTGGGACCAGTACTGTCTGTCCCTAAAGACACATGACAGATTTCTTATTTCATATGGTCCATGCCCAACTGTCACATTTTTAAGAGAACATCTTCAGAAAATTAAACTACCTATTCATTGGAATACTGTTTAGAAAGACAGTATTAGGTAAGCGAGTTTAGTGAATCTGGATTTACAGCTCTTTGGAAATTGTTTCACTCCTTTTTTGTCTTAAACAAATTGAGTTTTCAGTTAGAAATGCCAGTCAGGAATTTTTTCATGGGCTTATTTACCTCATGAGGAAGCTTTTAAACCATCCCTTTAGAGGCTTACTGCACATTGCAGTTGTTAAAGAACTCATCGTTTTAAATACACTAATAGTTAACATTGGCATATTCATAATTTAAGCACATGATCCGTATTTTACAAATCAGTAACCAGTGCAATTGCTCGGATATAAAAATAGCTGTTAAAACCAGATACAAATGCAAAGTCTTCAGAGTTGTGTTTAAGTTGCCCCGTCTCTATATCCAAAATGTATTATAAGGTTTCTTTTCTTCAAAAAATGGAAATTTGTCAGATAGAACAAAGCTGGCACAGCCCATGAGTTCAACCAGAACTTGAGGTAAAAGTTTTAATATCCCATTTACTTCCTCCTAGAATGATTTTCAAGACACATAGTCAGTTCCTATCCAAAGCACTGGCAGCTTCGTTTCCTAGCCGGAAGACCCATTGAATCTCTCCTCTTGCCACATTTCACCTAAGTTACTACTGTAGTTAATTTTTGTTGTTAGTTTTACTTTTTTTTGTTTGTTTTGGTGCTGGGGATCAAGCCAGGGATTATGTGTGCTAAGTACATGTTCTATCACAGAGCTATACCCCCCAATGTATTTTGATAGATGTGTTAAGTATTGCAAGGAAATTAATGATATGCAGGGAGGGAATTCTTATTGAAATAACCTTATCAGGCTTTTCCCCCCTGTATCAATCAAGTCTTTCTCCAAGCTTGTGTCAATGCTTACCTACAAAGAAAGTCAAATTACCACAAGTAAAAATGGTATGCCGCTTTTGAAGACAGTGTACTGCTTAGCATTTAGTGTCTCTCCCTTACAACTGAGCACCTTCTCCAGTTGTTGCACCCACCTTATTAGACCATGTCTGTGGCCCATTTTCCAAGTTTGGTAGAGAAATGTTAAGTGCTGTAGGAAACTATGTTCTTGCAAGCAAGCATTGTACCAGCCTTTAAAGCAGTGAATTTATACACGCATGGACATTAGTCTCAATAAACTTTGGTTTTGTTAATCATCGTTTTTGAGTGTTTTCTGTACTTCATTGTTTTGTTTCAGTGTACCTGTTCCACCCAGTTAGAAAGACTTGCCATATCTGAAAGAACAACTCCATGCAGGATCCTAAGAATATATGTAAACATACTTTATTTGTTATAAACCTTATTTAGACCATATCCTTTAATGAAATGATAAGTTCATACAAACTACTTTGAAATGGATGTTTTACTTTTGGGTGGTTTCCTTATCTTATTAGGGTTGGGAATGAGTTTCTTTATTTTAAGGGGTTGTAGTATTACAGCTGAGTCCTGCCCACCTTCAGCAATCTTTCTCTTACTAAGTTTTGTAAGGTCATCAAATGAAGTGTCCAAAATCTCTTTGTCCTGGCTTTCCAACAATTCAATCTCTAAATTGTCTTTAGGATCTTGGGTTCTGTCTTGAAGCCATGGCACATGTAAGCTGGGCACCCTGGGAATGATGGCTCTTACTTCCTCAGCAAAGTCCATGGTGTTCTTTCTGAAGCCCAAGGCTAGCACACATTTTAAGCCAATGACAGGAGCAATTCTCTCGCTGAGCTGAGGAACCTGACAAGCAGGAACAGTTCTGCTTATACTCAGCTGAATCATGTGTGAGGTGATGATGGCAGGCTTGACTGACTTGCACACTAGAACCAGCAGCAGTTCATTCCTCTCCAGAGCTCTGGTGACTTCATTAACACCAATGACCAGCTGTTTTCTGACATGGGCTGGCGTCCACCCTGATACCTGTAGACTCCCATCATGCTCCTTCTTCAGATGCTTACTAATCTCAACATCTGGGGTACATCTTTGCTTTTCTACAAAAGGAGTTTTCTTCCGTTTCTTATCTTCAATTTTCTGAAATCCAATTGATTTAAACTTGTCTTCGAGGGTCTGTAATATAAAGTGTATGTCCTCTCTCTCCAAGGTGCTCCAGGAAATGACATATGGGTTGTTCAGTGATGTCTTTACAACCAGAGGTCTAGTCTTCCGAATAGATCCCCTCTTTGGTGCTTGAGGGGCTGCGGCCATCTTGAAAACCCTTCAGAAAGAAGCAAGATGATGAGATTCTCATGTTAGCAAGGCAGGTTCTGAGTATTTTGGTTCTATTCTCCAGTCTCGTTTTTTTATTCCAGATTGATATACTGTAATAGCAAGTCTAAGGCCCAATGAGGTAACCAGAAACATAACTTTTATGGTAAAATGAACTAATTTTAATTTCCCCTATTTTTTCATGGTATCAGGCAATGTGTGAATGGCTGATGTTAATTTGTTAGCTTCTTCTAAACTCTAGCTGGTGCCTTCCACTCATTTATTTTTAAAAAAATTAGTAACATTGAATAGGTTTGTGGATCACATCATAGAGCACACGTAGGGGTCAGAGGTTCTCTCCTTCTACCATGGAAGTCACAGGGAGAACTCTGGTCACAGGCCTTTATTCTCTGAATCATCTCATTTATCAGCACATGCATTGAGCTTCTCCATTGGGCAGATGGTGTTCTAGGCACAGCTGCGGGTAGGCAACAAGACCCTGTGCCCACACAGAGCTTATACCCTTTAATTTCTGAAAGTAATCATTAACCTATTTCCATGGCTAAAACTTCTATACTTTGTTAAGTCTCCTTCCTCCCATGATCTCCCAGGTTCCTTCCTAAAACACTCGGGATATACTGGCACATTTTTCCCTTTACATGATCACATGACTACTGCTTTGGCAGGCAATTTCATGAAAACTAAAAAAAATATTTGTGATGAAATAAAGATTAATCCATTAGGGAGAAATAAAGGGCTAGGCTCCTTCCGAAAGCATATTAAAAGCCATTGGCCTATTCATAATCTAGAGACCATGGTATTAACCTTAGAGTTAGTTAGGATGTTCTCAATCGCTCTCTAGTTGAGCATTCATTCATTTAGATTCAGTTTCCCTTTCCCAAAGGCAACTGTATACTTCCTTCTCAGTTTTCTCATTCCTAGAGTTCATCTGAGGGCTGTAAAGACCCAGTTGACAAACTTTAAGGAAGTCCCCTCTGATTAAGGGTCTTCTAATTCAGGGTACTTTCCACAACCCAGTTCTCTAACCCATGTGTAGGGTTCCCCAGTGTGTGGGTGGGTTAGGAAGCAGACTCACAGTCCAAACTGAGAATTAGTTTTTCTGAAGACTTCCTTGAATTACGGCTCCATCTCAGAAATAACAGGTAGCTTTTAGGAACATAAGGGTGGCTTATTCTCACCCTAGAGCTATTGAGCTGTGGGGGTGCTCCCGAGCCATGGGGGCTGGTAAGAAGATGCCCAGGTGAATTGGGTTGCCTTTCCAAACTACAGCCCTAAGAAATGGTATTGCAGACTCATTCCCCATCCTTATTCTTCTAGTCACCTTCATTCCAATGAGACCTGCAGCCTTGGTCCCATCAGTGCTACCCACTGGTATTAATACTTTTTCCTTCCCATTACTGCACTGCACTCTCCCAGTCAACTCATTAGCTCTGCTCCCCACAAACTCGGATTGAAAAACAAAAAGTCATCCAAATCTAGTGAGGTGACTGCCAGGAACTGGAAAGATAACGGCCCCACGACAGCTTTTTTCTTTTCCTTTTTTTTTTTTTTTGGTTATGTTTTTTGAGACAGGGTTTCTCTGTAGCTTTGGAGCCTGTCCTGGAACTAGCTCTTGTAGACCTTGAACCCACAAAGATCCGCCAGCCTCTGCCTCCTTAGTGCTGGGATTAAAGGCGTGCGCCACCACCGCCCGGCTACAGTTTTTACCAAACTGCAAATCAGTTACTGTATCTGACTAAACCATCCATTGGTGTAAGAGGGACATTCACACCTAAGATGTGCTGCAACCAAGGGGCAGCAAGATTGGGATCACTTCTCTGATACACAGAACCTGAAAGGGGAGCTTTAAAAGCTCTGTCTGCATAAGGTGACTGCCATGCCATATGAATTTTTTAAATGCTGATTAATAAGAACGGACCTTCACAGACAGAAAAACAGGGTGGACTTGCAAGTGCCTTGTCATCTATGTCTGCAAGCTGCTAGTGCCTATAGGATCAACTGCAAACTCAAGGGTTCCCTTTTTTACCCTCCCATTTCTCATAAGCTTTTCTCCTTTCACCCACCAGGCATATTATAGACTCGGCCTATTTAATGAAGCTTCTGGTTTCTCATGTCCGTATTCGCGTACACCCTGCCTAGGATACTACTCATAACCACCACACCGTTTCTTCATCAAATTCTTAAGGATTATCTTTGATGCCCGAAGCCATTAGGCTTTAAGCAAAGCAAAAGCCTCTGCGGGTAATAAGAGCGGCTGGCTCACTTTAAAACCAGAGTAGTGAGAAGGCAGGAGAGGCTTTTTCCTTAGGGTCAGGAAAAGGCTTTCTGGAGGAAGCGAATGCTATCTAAGAATTGCTTCCAAACGAAGTAGGAAGTGGGCAGCGGTGAATCCCAGAAGAGTATTAAAGCAAGTTTAGTGTCGCTGGGACAGAGGTGCTGGACTTGGAGTTACAGGATAAAGACAAGATGGTGGGCTCTAGAGTCTTGCAGTATTTAGCGCGATTAGAAAGGCGTCGCAGAAAAGACGCTGACTTTGGGAAGGGACCCTGGAAAGGCTGTCAGCAGCACAGAAGCTCCCGTGGTTTCGGGAGACTCAGGGACACTCACGTAACACCACACGAAGGAACACCCCCTCCCGGGGTGGATCGTGAGAACAGTTGGAAAGGGCCGCAGGGAGACCTGGAGTTGGGTGGCCGCAGAAGCGGGCACAGCCCCTTTCCCACCCGCCCCGCCCCGCGGTGACCGGGGTGCCCACGGGCTGGGACTCGGACCACGGGCGCGTGCCCACCTTTGCAGAAGCTCCCTGCGGAGACCACGTGACAGATGGATTCCTTGCTGCGACTCCGCCGTCACTGAGGGCACCAGTGTCGCCTCCACGTGCGCCTGCGCCGCGCCTGCGCAGAAGGATATCCCTGGCTGCCTGCCCTCGGCATGACGTCACACCCAGTAAGGTACTTAAACTGCAGCTGGCGACAGGTCGATCCGGGTGAGGGTGGGGGTGGGGGTGGGGGTGGGGGTAGGGGTGGGGATGGGGTGGGGGTGGGGGTGGGGGTGGGGGTGGGGGTGGGAGGAATCCCTAAGCGCGGAACAATGCTCCAGAGCAGCACTGCACAGGCTTTTAATCTGTCTCGCGAGAGTCTGTGGTTGCTGTAGTAACCAGCCGCTCTCGCTCGGATGCTTGTTTAAAGTTCTTGGATCCTGTCTTTCTGGTTTAGCCCAGTTGCTTTAGCCTTGGAATTCTGGCCCGCTATCTTTTTTCGTTCTAGGATCACAAAGTTCCAGCCCTTTTAGCCATCCATTCTCTGCACATGTCCCCGCGCCACGAAAATTAAATAAACAGGGGTTGTAGGGTTGAATGTAATTACGATTTATGTCATCTTGACAGCCCAGCATGTCTCTTTAGAATCATAGTCTCCTACCCTGGTCCTCAAAGACCCACTTCCATCTAATAAGGCATAGTCCATTCACTACAAACTTTGTAGGAGTGAAATCGCTGGCTTAGGCACTAACTCAGTATTAGCACATAAGGAAATATAAACTTTTTCAAGAGTAAATGGACCACCTTGTATCCCCAGAGGCAGCATTTGAGGTGGACATCTGTTACATATGCCATGTGTTTCACCTCAGATCTACGGGATATATTTGATCCTTCAACTCATATGGCCAGAAATAAGTAGAAAACAATACGTCAGGCTCTGGACACAATTGTAGTTGTGATCATACACAGCATGAACTAGGAAGTGGGTTGGCTGATCTCAGGAGGGGGTCTCTGTACAGGCTCAGGTCAACATAGTCCTGGTGGAAGAAGCTGCAGCCAGTACTTTCTACACATGTTGAGTTTGCTGCAGGTCACCCACTTGTCAATATCTGTACTCCAGCCAGAGGAAGGCAGTGACGTTCCCGTGAGTGAGACACGTGGTGGTGCAAGTGTCAATTCACGCGGGACTTCGGCTTCACATTGTTCAGCTGTGGGCCTCTGTATTTGTTCCCATTGGCTGCAGGGGGAAGCTTCTCTGATGAAGGCTGAGGAAGGCGTTGATCTACGTACGAGTATAGCAGAATGTCACTGGGAAACATTTTATTGCTATGCTCCTTTTGCAGAATCAGTATTTGGTTTCCCCCAGGTCCCCAGCTTATCTAGACTCTGGTTCTTGGCCACCTAAGCAGTGGCAGGTATGGGTTACATCCAGTAATCCAGTTAATCCAGTCAGGTATTGGGTGGTTACTATCATGAGCTTTGTGTCACAATTGAGCCAGCGTAGCTTGCATGTAGACGGGGTAGGGGTGGGGGGGTTGCAGCTGGGTTGATGTTAACCTTTCTCCTTTGGTGATGGGCAGAGTACCTTCCAGGACCACTATCTCTAGTCGGTATGGGTTAAGGCTCTAGGTAGGCAACAGCTTGACATCTGTGTTCTTTGGGTTGTGTAGGTGTTGTCCTCAGCAAGAGGACCTTACCATTAGTTTGTGTAGAACATCCATTAACCTTGACGATAGCCTAGTTTCTTCAGGAGTCCCCATGAGGCCACTTTGGCCAACACTTCAATTAAATGTCACCCATTCCCAGTACTTTGGAAGCTTCATTAATGACTACTTGATCATGCGGATGGTCTTTTTGATGTTTCATGTATTTGGTTTTTGAAAGTATTTTATTGAAAAATTTTGAGTCTATTTTCATTAGGGATATTGGTCTGTAATTCTCTTTCTTTGTTGAGTCTTTATGTGGTTCGGGTAACAGGGTAACTGTGATTCATAAAATGAACCAGACAATGTTCCTTCTGTTTCTATTTTGTGGAATAATTTGAGTATTGGCATTAATTCTTCTCTGAAGGTATGGTAGAATTCTGCACTAAACCATGTAAAACCATCTGACCCTGTGGATTTTCGCTTGGGAGACTTTTAATGACTGCTTCTATTTCACTAGGGTTTATAGGCTCATTGAACTTGTTTAACTGATCTTGATTTAATTCTGATAGGTGGTATATATCAAGGAAATAATCCATTTCTCTTAGCTTTTGCACCTTGGCAGAGTATAGGTTTTTAAAGTATGTCCTTATGATTCTGTGTATTTCCTCAAATCCTGGAAATTCATCCTCCATATCTATAGGCTTGTATTGCTGTCCCAGAACCATCAGCTGGACCGTAGAGATCCCTTCCTTTATAAATCTTATGATATTGTTAATGATGCAAGGTCCATAAGTCAAGGCCAATGGTAAGAAGACCTAGGGCCCACTCAGAGCCGAAAGGAGTATAGTTAACTAGGGTGACCAATTGAATAAGGATTTATACTATAATATGCTTCTTTCCTACTTTCCTAGTTTTATTTGATTAGGTTTATGGAGGCTTTTATGACACCTGAGTGGTTAGCATAAAAACAGCATTGTTCTCCCAGAGCCAGATATAGAACCTCCCCCCATTGAAGGAACAGTAAGTCTAAACCCCTCCTATTATGGGGGGCCACCCCAGCTAAAGAAGAGAGTGATTCCTCCAGATGGGTGATGAAATTTCTAGGGTGGCTGTGTCTGCATCTATGGCTGTGCTTGAAATCTTATAATTCCGATCTTGGAGGATTAGAGCTGAGGTTTCAGCGCCTATGAGAATGGATATTAGGACAGCTGGGAAAACCTCACATTTGGCTTATCCAACTGGTTGTAACTGATGGAGACTTCCTCAGGGAAACAAGCTATTTTTGTGACCAGCTGCACCAAGACAGAAACCCTGAATATCAGTTAAAACTTGCGCATGTATGCCGGGAGTTAAACCTGTGGTACAGGCCCACCAAGTATCATCCGGCAGAATTAAATATCCTGTCCCCAGTGGGTTGAGTTTCACTGCAGAATCAACATAGTTAGGTGGGGTTCGGCCCATGCAGAGGCTGTTTCCTGTTACCGATTGTAGTGTTAGTCTCCGTCTGCCTGAGTGTTGCCATCTGCATGACTGCGTGTCAGGGGAGCTGGTATAACGTCCCTGTGTTGCAATCTCCTCATTATAGTGTGGTCTTGTGTCTAGGGAGAGTGAACGAGCCCTGGTGAGTCTTTGCTTTGAGGCATTCAGAACCAGATAGGTATATCTTTGTAGATTAAAGAGGCCTGGATTAGAGGGTTGATTTGTGGGGGTAGAATCAGTTGTCAGAGACAAGGTCTTAGTTTTAAAGGCTTAGATTTCTTAGGCTTTGCTCTTTTTGACATTTGGGTGTTCATTACCCTATTGAGGCCCAAAGGCTTTTGTGGCTGTAGGGGCTGAACGTCTAACTGGAGATGAACAATGTTCCTGGGTCTTCCCCTATATCATCCCACCTGGTCATACAACCTTAAACCCAGGTTTTTCCTGAAGCCCAACTAAACATTTTTCTACCAGCACCTGTGAATTGAATTAATATTTGGTTACATGTCCCTGCTCCAGCAAACTTAGTTCATCAAGCACTCAAACATCTTGGTTGGTCTACCTACTTTCCCTTGACAAGGTCTCCATTCTTTGGGGCCTTCTGCCAGATATGACCCGTGGAGACACAGCTCCATGAAGCACAGAAATAGTCACTGACTCCTCCACTGGCCTCTACCTGTCTCTTTATCTGTTATACCCAGGACAAACATTAAAATGGGTGACTTCTTGTAATGTAGTATCACACACCTCAGTCCAACCATAAAGCATCCCCAAGTCAAAGTATAGATCAGGTCCCTATAGGTACTGCATGGGAAGTCCAGCTCAGGATCCTTCCCGTGCCAGCATTGATGATTTCCTAGGTGAGAATAAAGGGTAGGTGGGGGTTGTGGTCCCCTAGAGTGACCAGACTGGAAAGCCCCTGCAGGCACATGCTGAGGAAGCATAGGGACAAGCCCGTCACTTAGCTGGATTGGTGAGTTTCTGAATTCTCAATTTTAAAGAATCTCATGGAGGTGCAATGGCTCTCCAGGGTTGACTTCCTCTGGAGCGTAGCCCTTAGGATCAGCGTGTGGGTCTACGGGCTTCACATAGGGATGGTGACTCCAAGTAGGTACTTCGTCTACTTTGACAGCTGTGAGCATTGTCAGGATGACAGTGTAAAGTCCCTTCCAACCACCCAAGGGCTCTTTTCTGTGTCTCTTGATGATCACCAGATCTCCTGGCCAGAACTGGTGGGGCACAGTGTTGTGATCCAGCTGCCCTCACTCCCCGTGACTGACAGTGGAACTTCCTTGTGGTCTGTAATTGACAAGGATGTTTGTGTTCTTTCTGCCTTGTGGTTTTCCGCAGAAGCAGTAGGGGTATAAAAGGCTTTAGCACTGGGCAAAATAAAGCTTGCTGTTTTTCCACCTGAAAGCCTCCGTGTCTCAATCCTGGCGCACCACCCCCCCCCCCCCAGTCTCAGCTATCCAGGCTGCACTGGCTGCAGCAGCACAGGATACAGTACCTTCTTATAGATTGCACACAGCTGAGGCCAGAGTTGTTTCTGCACCTGAGACGGAACTTTAAGGGAGGAGAGAAATCTTTGGTCATCAAATTTAGCCAGCAATTCTGCCCTAAGATTAGGCAGAATGGGTAGTGACCTGACATACATGATCACCAGTGTGGTCTGGCCTAGAGTCTAAGGAGAATGGCAAACCCAATAGGGAGCAAAGGGGAGGAGAGACACCTAGTCACTGCCAGACTCAAGGGGTAATTTGGTTAAGTTCTCCTTTGTGGCTGGGTCCATCCTTTCTACCTGACCCAAACCTTGGAAACACTAAGCACAATGAAGTTTTCCAATTGGTCCCCATAGCCTTAATTAGTTTTTGTGTTACATGAGAGACGAATGCAGGTCTGTTATCTGAGCCCAAGAGCACAGGGAGGTCATACCTTGGGATAATTTCTTCCAGCAACTTCTTGACCACCATGGCAGGCTTCTCGTGCTTAGTTGGGAAAACCACAGTTCATGATGAAAAGGTATCAATAAAAACTAACAATTATTTATAGCCATACAGGCCTGGCTTGGCCT